TGAGTCAGAGTAGAGAGGATGTAGAGTTGGGAAGCTCTAGGCAAAAATATTTACTGCTGTTAGAGATGGCAAATATTCAACCTTCAAATAAGCAAAGTATTTTTTATTTTGCAGCAGCTTCATTACTGACACACAGCATTTTATTTTAAATTCCTGRCTATCAGAAACATGAGATATTGCTGTGGTTTCCACTGAATGGTTAAAGCACAATTCCCCAATATATCGTGCCAAGAAGTCTGTGTGGTCCTAAGTCCATGGGGCTATCTCCTGAGCTGGTTTATCTCCAAAGCAGACAAAACTAGCTGTGTTTCCTGTGGGAGGTCTTCAGGCATCTGGCAATGCTACTCAGCCTTCATTATGTTGTACTTTTCAGAGATGGAGTTTTTCCCAAGTCAGAGTGAACAAAACTGCTTGACAAAACCCTGCCAGCACAGCTGATGTGATCGTGCTGTGGGTGTGCTGTGTATTATGGCAGAAATGAGGCAAACTGAAGCAGATATGGGTTACTGCCAAGCTGGTGTTTGTTCTCTAGACACGGAAGGAGACATTAAAAAGGGGAGAGAAACATTGCACCTATACACAGATCTGAGGACACCTGACTGCTAACTTTGGTCCTGACAGTGAGGTCCTTCCCTGTATCCCTCACTCTACAGCAATGCATCACATCTGGCTTTTAAATTTACCACACCAAGATTTCTAGGAGGCTGCTAGACTTGTAGCTAAAGGCACATCTATCATTACTTTCAGTAGTGACAGTGATGAATATCCAACTAAAATAGATTTCTGCTATTTTCCATATTGTGAGGGGTTTGAAGACAGCAGCAACAAAACAGTCAGATCTGYAATTCACAAAAATTCTAAAATATGTCTAAAATATACATTTCATCTTGCYCTAGATAGAAATTCTATAAAGACTTTTGAACTAGTGGACTACATACATGCAAATGTAAACATATATTTAGTTTCCACAGAGGCAAGTATAACATGAAAATTAATTTAAGGTGACAATATTACTCATAGAAACAATTTAGGCTACTGTCCTCTCATCTTGAAATGATTAAATTCTTATTTGCCATGCTAAAATATTATTATAATTCTGGATATGCATGCTGCGCATACAACCACAACTTAMTGTGGATTTCAGTAATCGCTTTTTTCAAGATGCAGTGTAGACCTTTAGCTGATGTTGTGTTGAGGAGTATGGAAAGCCGTGTTTTGATTTCATGCTAAATAATTCAACAGATTTGTCTCTGTATAACAATAGTCTTAATATGGATGCTATTGCAGTGCAGATGAAAGTCATACTTGAAGTTTCACCGAGAAACTGCAAAAAATCAAAAGTAACTWGGTAACTAGGCAACTCTTGCTATGAATTCTCACAGGGAAAACTTTTTTTTTAATCTTTCAAATTTTTCACTATTTGGCTTATAAAMATTTCCATGTTAAGTTGTCCTGAAACATTTAATAAATGCTGAATTAATGCAAACGTTTTTGTTGACTTACCATAGGAAGGCCCAGGTCTTGCATCATCAATGTAACTGGTCAGGCTTTGGATTTGAAATTCTTAGCAGTGAATRTTCAAACAATGGAAATGAAAACATGACTAGATAAAGACTCCTCCAAAGTCACGTATCAATGCTGAAAACTCCTGGAGGAGATTAAGAACTGTCATTGCAGCTCATATGATCAAATTTATTGAGTGAATCAGAATTCCACAGAAGTTGATTGAGCACTCCCACTCACTTTCATAAGTCCCAGATTTCTCACATTATCTKCAAAAATGTCTGAATAAAGAAAACTACTAACAATTGTGGGTTTGGACCATTTTGAATTAAAGCAGATTGTGTTAATTTTAGTGTTCATTGCATTGGATGGGCTCTGGATTGAATCTACATACAAGGCCTCTCAGTATTTTAATCTTCCTTAGCACTGTATTTCTGTATTTGTTTGCAGTTTTCTACTGTAGTAAAGTAACTTCTTTGCATTCCCATTTTGTGACTAAAATCAGTGAGATTAGTCAGCAGGTACTAGTGCYGGCAATGATTAACCTCATCCACTAGGGTGACTAGTGTTCCCGGGAGATGCCTTCCAACCAATGCTGTGAGTGGAAGCCCAGGCAGCCAGATACCCACTCCAGCCACAGCTGGTGGCATTTATTATATTTTATGAGTGCTTGCAGCATGGCCTATGGAAGGACTATATATACTGTGTGGAAGGAATATGTACATAGTCCAAGTACTACTTGAACTTCATGCAAGTAATAKGTTTATGGATGTACATGGCTGAGCTACTAACCTAACATCACCCTCACACACAACTGTGCTTTTTTTTTTTTATTTTTTTTTTTTTGAGTAAACAGGCCTGAATCACTTTTTCACTAATCTGGAGTCAAGTCATAGGGCCTTGATGTATGTGGTATGTAAACTCTATGCTGCAATCCAAATAGTCAGTGAGAATTTATATCTGGTGTAATCTGCAGCCTTTAGCAGATATATGTGAGAGGATCTTGGATCTATAGCTCTTGGATATGAATGTGTGCGATGTCAGAGCTGGAAACTCATCCAGTTCTGTACAAACACTGAACTGTGTGAGTCAACAATCTCTCCGTTCACTGAGACAAATTACTTAGGAAAAGAAGTTTTGAGCCTACGTGATGCACTTTTTCACAGCAACTCTGAAGAAGAGCTGGAAAAACTAATCTTCTGGTAAGCATAAGGTTTTGTAGTTTTTAAATAACTGTGAGGTTTTAATGTAAGCTTGTATGGTTCTAAGAAAGCCGTAAAGGAACAAAAAGAATTATATTTTAAAATTTATTTTCCTTTAGTTTTCCAAATTGTTAATATTCCTAATGGTGCTTGAAACTGATTGAATCTGACAGGAATTCAAAGATACTGTGGCAGTCACTTATTTTTTTCCTGAATAAGYGATTTATTCAAAACTGCTCTCAACCTCACTCTCTAAATTACATSTGTTTTAAAAGAAAATCCCTGCATCTTCCAAAGTAYTTCCTGTGAGGCCACAGGATACAGCATATAAATAATTGCTCAGCTGGTGTGGGAAAACCGTTTTGCCAGAGTTTAAAACCTCTGACTGTTTCAGGTGTGGAATGGAAGAAGTAAATGAGAATGCATATGGGAASTAGCAGAGCAGTCCTGCTTTCTCATCGGCAATAGGGCAGGGAGACCTGGGACTGCTCCAGCCTTTGTGATGGGCATGGCAGGGCTCTCCTCCACCTGCGGTCCTCTGCCCTGAGCTCCTACATGTGCTCATGTATGGGGGTTGTGTGGCAAGGTTCTGGTAGTGATGGGGCTACAGGGGTGGCTACAGGGGTGGCTACAGGGGTGGCTTTTCTGAGAAGGTGCCAGAAACTTTGTCCTGTCCAATGAGCCAATGCCAGCTGTCTCTAAGACGGACCCACTGCTGTACAAGCTGAGCCCACCAGTCAGTTATGGTGGTAGCACCTCTGGGATAATGTATCTAAGAAGGAAAAAAGTTACTGCACAGAAGCAATCGCATCCAGAGAATGGAGGAATGAAAATATGTGAGAGCAGACATCAAGTGAGTGCAGAAAGAAGGGGAGATGGTGCTCCTGGGGTTGGAGCAGAGATTCCCCTGCAGCCCATGGTGCACACCATGGTAAGCCAGGATGTTCCTCTGGAGCCTGTGGAGGACCTCATGCCAGAGCAGGTAGATGCCATAGGAAGTTCTGCCACTGAGCAAGTTYGTGGCAGGACCTGTGGCCCTGCAGAAAGGAAGCTGGTTTGCTGGTAGGAATTGTGGCCCCACTGGGGATCCACGCTGGAGCAGTCTGTTCATGAAGAGCTGCACCCCATGGAAGGGATCTGYGCTGGMGCAGTTTGTRAAGAACTGCAGCCCCTGAGATGGACTCAGCCTTGGAGAAGTTCAAGGGACTGCGTCCTGTGGGAGGACCACACTGGAGCAGAGGAAGGGTGTAAGGAGTCCTTCTCATGAGGTGGAAAGAGCAACACAGACAGCTTGGTGTGAATTGACCTCGTCACCGAAACCGCGGGAATTTAATCTTTGTATCACTTCCAACAACCGCAGCCCCCATTCCAAATTCTGGTGTGCCGCTGTTGAGGAGGAGGCAAAGAAATACTGACTGAAGTTGAGCCCAGGAAGAGGGCAAGGTAGGGAGAAGGTGTTTTTCAGTTTTGGTTAAATTTCCCATTACCCTACTCCGATTTGATTGGCAATAAATTAAGTCAATATCTCCAAATCGGTTTTGCTTTTCTCTCGATGGTAATTGGTGAACGATCTCTTCCTGCCCTTAACTCGACCCGACAGTCATTCGTTGTATTTCCTCTCCCCTGTCCTGCTGAGGAAGGCAGTGACAAAGCGGCTGTGATAAACACCCGGCACCATGCCAGAGTGAATCCACCAGAGGTGTCGCGGTGCGGGTGCCCTGAGACCCCTTGTAAGCGTCCCCACAACCCTTCCCGTGCGTGCTGGGGCCTGGGCTCTCTCACAGGGGGTCCCTCCCGAGTGCCGGGACGAATTCTCTCTGCGGCCCCGAGCCGAGCGTGAGCATCCGAGCGGCCCGGAGCCTCCGTCACCTGCAGCTCCCCGGCTGCCGTGGCTGTGGTGCCGCACGGGGGAGGCCGCGCAGCCCCGCCGGGATCCTGAGCAGCGCTCTTCCCGCGGGCGGAGCGGCAGCGGCCGCGGCGGGCGGGGCAAGGCGGCACCCAGGGG